TATTTTTTTTTTTAATGATACGGCGACCACCGAGATCTACACAAATATTTCATCTACTTTAAAGCAATGGCCTCATCCTTACCTATGATTCAGCATGAGGGCCTCATCCTTGCCTATGATTCAGCATGAGGGCCTCATCCTTACCTATGCTTCAGCAATTCAGCATGAGGGTCTCATCATTGCTTATGCTACAGCACTTTAGCATGCAATGACCTCATCATTGCCTTTACTTCAGCACTTCAGCATGCCTTATCCTTGTCTATGCTTCAGCATTTCAGCATGCAAGGGCCTCATCATTGTCTATGCCTCAACACTTCAGCATGTAAGGGACTAATCTTTGAGTAAAGGAAGATGCGATCTCTTGAAGTCATCGTTCCTTGAAAAGGGAAGAGGCAGTCCTCGTTCCTTGAAAAAAGGAAGATGCGGCATTATCTTAGAGTCCTCATTCAGAAAACAAAGTTCGTAATCTGAGAAATTAAATTTGCACAAGCTCATCAAAAATAAAAGAACCTCCTAATGAGAAAGACTCATAGAGGAAGCCTCTTCATAGATGATCCGTCCCTATGAAGAGACGCAAGCTTATCAAAAAGAAAAGAACCTCCTAATGAGAAAGGCTCATAGGGGAAGTCTCTTCATAGATGATTCGTCCCTATGAAATGACGCAAGCTCATCAAAAATAAAAGAACCTCCTAATGAGAAAGACTCATATGAGAAGCCTCTTCATAGATGATACGTCCCTATGAAGAGATGCGCGGACACTTCAACGAGGAGTTGGGTCCCAAAGAGGACCACATCTGTACTCAACGAAATGTGGCACATGCCTTTAACAACTAAAGTTGTTAGGAAAACCTTAGCATGAGCAAACCACTCAACCCATGCAAATGAAAGTGGAAGGCAAAGAGAACTGCCTAAAGTACTAAAGAGCCTCAGCTTATACACATCAATGTACTTGAGTCCAGAAACATACAAAGTTCAGGTTGCGCTTCGAATATATACAACTTCAGATGTTACAACTTCGGAATTACTCCACATCAAGTACCCCCTTCCCAGAATTGTTCCAGGAGGTGAAGTATTACCAAGTAAACTACCTCGGACAACACCTACAGAGGGTGTCAGGTACATTTTAAATGAAATACACCCCTACAAATTTTTTGTTCACGTCCATGCATTACATAAATAATCATGCCTAGATTCGAGGGACTATTGTTACGCTTCGCCTCAGAGGCTCAAAAAAAAAGTGCATCGTGACAAGCCACGTAGGCAGAAAGTCAACAAAAAG